ATAAACATTTTGTTATGCAAGTAATGTAACATGACAACATGACATTTGTTTTGAACTGATAAAATTAGAAAAACATTCTGTTAGGTAGCAACATTTGATTGAATTTGCAAAAAATACAAAACATTATTTTAAATAATATAATATTTTTTATAAATTGGAAAAAATACACAAAAAGTTTAAGTAACAACATTTGATTTAAAATTTACAAAAATGCACAAACATTCTGTTAAATAACAATGTTTGATTTAAATGAGTAAAAATACAAAACATTCTTTTAAGTAACATAACAATATTTCTTATAAATTAGCAAAAATACAAAAATCTGTTACAAAACAATGTTAGTGTTATTTTAGTATCACTGAGATACTATTATAGTTTTTATGAATATTTTGAATCAGCTTTTATTTTTATATTTTCCGTTTGCAGTTTACTTTTAATGTTTTTGTTTGTCATTTTTAGTATTTTTTTGTCTATATATATATATATATATATATATTTTTTTTTTTATTACATCAACTTTAAATTAAAATGAGAAATGTTGCCTTTGCAGCTGAAATAAATTTCAAGTAACGTTTTAAATTTTCTGTTTGTTTTAGTTTTAGTTACAGGGGTCATATGATATTGATATATATATATTATGTTGTGTATTTGGTGTAATGCAATGTGCTTATGCGGTTTAAGGTTAAAAAAACACATTATTTTCCTTTATGTACCGTGACGAGAGGGGCGGGGCCGAGAGCCGTGGGAACAGAGCGCAGTGGGGACATAATTACTGATTATAATGACTTATACTGTCTTTTTACGTGTGGCGTATCGCACCGCATAAAAATAAAACCATGTCTGGAGAAACGACAAACAATAAGTGCTACTCTACACTGCTCAAAACTCACGTTTGAATCGTCAGTGGCAAATTCTTTAAATATAAAAAACGTGCTTACAGGCTGCGAGTCAGAAGCGCCAGACTGTCCTTGCAAAGTTGGAACTGCCCCACTTTATAGAAACAGACACCAGCATTGTAGGCTACTCTCACAGGAAACAGTCCTCATCCTCCGCAAAATGCGCAGCACACATCTGAATATTTGGATTGTACTGTTCTGGAACAGTGTTGTAAATACAACTTAACCACTGATTTCTAGTTGTGTCCTCTTTGGAAGGCCAAACAAAGCAGTCTTTCACAACGAAACACACAGCGTCACACATGGCGGGCTTGTGGCAACCACATGTGACGACCCCGGGCTGGACTCCACTTCGTCCACGGTGAAAGCCGATCCGGCGATTCACAGTGCGAAGTTGATGTATTCCCTCAGCGACCAGCACGGATCAGCTCCAGGCATGACGAAGCGGATATCGTCCTCTTTTGGAAGGCCAAACAAAGTAGTTTCGCTTTCACAACGAAACACACAACATGGCAGCGGTGGCAACAACAATACTACAGCGAGAATAAAAGTTACGCCTTCTTTTTTTGTGTGAACATTTGGGCAGCGTTATGCAAATCTTCCCACATTGTGACGTAGACATGTGGGGGCATGTTAGAACGAGCCGTTTTAGGTAGGCGTGGTTGACTCTTAACTTTTATAAAGAATATCTCTTTGGATTTAAGACTTTAGTCTTTGCAACTTTACAGATCTTCTTTAACTATAATAACCCAGTAAAACGTTTGATTTACATTTGTAAAAATACTAATCATTCTTTTAAGTAACGCAACATTTACTCAAAAAACAAACAAAAAAAAACATTATTTTATGTATCATCACATAACACAACATTCTTGTTTTAAATTTGTCCAAATACAAAACCTTTGTTTATTTTGAGGTTTAAACTAGTTTTTAAATCTTAGATATTCAACATGGCATCACACTTCCAGCCCCACTGTATTTCACATTCAAGAGATGCAAAAGCAAATGCACAAAACACACCTATTTATGAAAATGTACAAAAATGCTACAAAAATAATAATAAATAAAAATCAGCATCACCGCCGTGGCAGAGTGCCCTTAAGGGGCAAAACTATGATTTGAATATCAACACATGAATACAAATTTTCTGTATGAATGTATTCAGCAGAGGTCTCAGGCTCCACAGGAGGTTCTGTCTGTTGTCCTCTTGGGTTTCAGGTCTAGCCTTTCTCCCTCACCTAGTTCCCATATCTTTTTCCTCTCCTGAACCCGTGTGTCATTCAGGTTCAAAGGCCTCAGCCTTAAGCGCAGCCGTGCCGCTCTACTGTAGTGGCTCCTGAAGCTCTCAAAGGCTCCTGCCTCTCTCATCTGCCACCCTCTGTACTACAAACACAACATTCATATTTATGAGAAATTAGAGGAAAACCTCTTTTCTGCTCACCTTTTTTGTCCTACAAGTATATGTTTTTCTCAAGTGACTGACTTGAATAACAATGTAATTTGCTAGCTATACATATATTCTACTGTCAACAACAATAACTATTTTTTGCCAAAAAGGTTCCTGTACTTGACTTACAAGAAGCAAAATTACTTCGACTGTTTACGTTTTCTACTTTTACAAGAGCTGTCACTTCTTGTAGTATAAAATAAGTCGTGTGAAAAGGGAAAGTGGTAGTATGCTGTGAACGTACATTTATCAGGAATAATGAGAGAAGGCAAAACCCACACTCCAGACATTTAGACCCTCACAGCAAATTTGTCTTTTCTTTCTAGGCCTGATGGGAAACTCCATCATTGCATTACATGAGTGCAGGAGCATCTTGAGCACCCGTGATAAAAAAAACAAAAAACGTAGAGGTTCATCTTGTACTCACTTCTATCTTCAGGCCGAACTGCCAGTCTCAGAACAGCTGTGTACAGAAATACGAATTATACAGTCTGAACGATATAGACCTCCCACATATTACAAACATGCCTACAATCTAACCAGCGCCAACACACCCACACACACAAGCATGAATGCAGACACTGAGGGAAATTAATATGTTCTGCATTTGTATGCATACAGAAGTAAATTAAATTTGTACACAGAAATGGGTGAATGTCATAAACCCTGTCAAAAACATATCTGTTTAATATTCTGCCTCTAAAAAAAATATATTTAATACAATTTACATTATAATAAAATAAATAAGTTATATTTTGCTAACAGAACATATGAAATCTATTTTAGGACAATGAAATTTGAATTGTGATCTGGCAATTTAGTACATTCCTTATCCACACAATAATAATAATAATAATAATAATATCAAACTATGGATATATAATAATAAATAATAAATAAAATTGCAATAATAAAAATGAAATACAATTCAATAATAATAATTTTGCTTAGAATTTTTTTGTGCTATTTTAAATAAAACATAATTGTAGTACTGTAATTTTTACCATAATTCAGTAAAAAATAAAATAACTGAATTATGGCCAGTCTACAAACTATTAGATTAATCACAAACTGTAAATAAATAAATACATACATATATAAATACAAATAATTTTAAAAATCTACATGCATTAAAGTAATGATAATTTCATCTTAATACTCCTAGTTTTATTTAAAATAAACTTTCTGATTTTGGGGGATATGTAGATTCATTTGGGGTTGCAAAGTGGTTTTCTTGTAGAACTGTGCAAAACTGTTGCAGCAGGTTGAATTTTTATTCCATACTTTAACATACTGTATCAGTCACAGAGACCCGGTAAGCCTGGTTTCACTCAAATATGAAATTATCCCTTCAAACATCCTGAAAAATCAGAGGCTTCTTGCTAAACTACAAACTCCTTCCTGTTTTGTACTCTCTCTGTCTCTCACACACACACACACACACAGACACACACACCACTATAAACACAATGACCCCTCCCTCCCTTTAGACCATTAGCGATAGACAAACCATTTTTTAAAATACAATAACAGGAGCACAATGACCTTTCCTCATAGACAGAGGACAGAGAGCATCTGACCCCCCCCCCCATTTCATCATCCCAAAGCAACTAACAACCTCCGCAGCGCTAACCAAACCCTGACCTACTGCAAAGACAAATAACAGCTCCTGAAAAACAAATAAAATGTCAGCATTATAAATATTCATCAAGGTGTATTATAGCTGATGTAAACGTTTAAACTTTCATTACACAAGGCCTCATCTATGGCCTAAGCAGTCATTTACAATATGTGACTATGAATATTTATACACGTTGCTCATTTTGGAAGGCGAGTTGCCACTGATTATGAATTATGAAGACATTAAGTAGTGATGCTTAGACAGTTGAGTACGCACAGTAAACTTGTTTCAAGCTGCATTATTCATTACCTGTGTGATAGTAATATACTCCTCTGACTGCTGCTTTGGAAGAAAATCCACATATAATATCGCATCAGCTCCAATGCTAGACTGTTTAGAATTGGCGACTCGGCTTGTGATGACATAATGTCAGCTAGAAATCCATTAAAAAACATTAAAGCATTTACATAGGACAACTGGAATTAAGACAGGATAAACTGGCAGTTGGTTTCAAGCGATTGAATGCAAATATTTAACTTCATCCAGCTCTCTTTTTGTTCTCTGTGTTTGAAAGTTTCCCTTTACTGTCTGACGGAGCGAGAAACTGCTCCAAACAATTCAGTCTGCATCACGGCGACAATTAATCAATATAAATTCTCTGTTAATCCGCGTTATTTAATTCTTCCCTTAGTAATTTACTTAGTCTGTTCGCTTGTGTCTTCATGTTTGCCAGCGGCAGAACAAATGCTTATAGGAAAGTTTGACTACAGAACAGTGGGATTACTGAGCATGATCAATAATAATAATATGTCAATAATCATTTATGTATTTATTAATTACAGCTGCACATTGTAGTCACGGCTTAACACCCGCCATTTGGTTGTCGTGTTCATCAGCTGTGGTTAGGGATCATTTTTAGAGCGTGTCACTGACCACACCGGTCATTATGGTAATGATATGAATGATTACTTGTTAATATGATCTGGGCTTTGGTATGTTGCGCTGATGACAAAAGAGAGCCAATGCCAGCACTCACCTCTTTCTCACCGCAGATATTACTGATGATGGAGTTGGATGCCGGGCTGGCAGAGGGGCCCAGGACCGCCACAACCCCCTTGGACATGATCTGGCACACTGTCAATAGTTAAAGGAAAGTGTCAATAATCATTTATGTATTTATTAATTACAGCTGCACATTGTAGTCACGGCTTAACACCCGCCATTTGGTTGTCGTGTTCATCAGCTGTGGTTAGGGATCATTTTTAGGGCGTGTCACTGACCACACCGGTCATTATGGTAATGATATGAATGATTACTTGTTAATATGATCTGGGCTTTGGTATGTTGCGCTGATGACAAAAGAGAGCCAATGCCAGCACTCACCTCTTTCTCACCGCAGATATTACTGATGATGGAGTTGGATGCCGGGCTGGCAGAGGGGCCCAGGACCGCCACAACCCCCTTGGACATGATCTGGCACACTGTCAATAGTTAAAGGAAAGACCAGCTGTCATTTATTACAGACAGAGAGCAGAAGGAAAGCAAGATCTAACCCTGCCAAGAGTGCTGCTGTCCCATTTTTATTCAAGGATACTGTATCTGCCATGGAAGTCTATTATACCCAGTGGTGGAAAGAGTACTGAAAATTTGTACTTAAGTACAAGTACTGTTACATTGCTGAAATAATACTCAATTACAAGTAAAAGTACTGGTGTCAAATCAGTAATTAAGTAAAAGTACAAAGTACTCCTCTCAAAAACTACTCAGAGTACTAGTTACTAGTTACATTTTAGCCGCCGATATTTAATGAATTACCAAAAAATATTCATATCAAAGATTTATGTGGATAATAGCTAATTTGAACAAAACCCACTTTTATCTTATCGACAAAGTACATGAATTAGTGGTCATATGATACAGGAATTTCTAACTTCAATACCTTGAAAAATATCAGTATCAAAGTACACGTGAACTGGAAGTTGCAACTGACTTCAGTGTTGTGATCTATATCCGAGTGAAACAGAATGTTGAATTAAGGGGGCGGGGTTTTATTGTGGTGCACCTCCTCTCCACCTCTTGCTCAGATTCAGCTAAAATATTCGTGTCTGAGACACTGTGAGCACGGACACTGTAGTGTGCACAGCAAATTTTTAAATGCTTAGCTTAAATATGTAATATTAATTCAATCGTGCGTATAGTATTCTCAAGTGAAATAAGTAGAGGCATGGACCCGGAAACAGCAGTCCTTACGTCATCATAACATAACAAGAGGATACTCCCCAAGCCGTCAGTTTCATCAGAGCGAGAATGCCATTCCAGAGCGGAAGCGACGGCAGACAATTTTTGTCTGTGTATTGACTTGCATGGTTCAATTGTTCACCAGAAGACTAGTAATGTGCACTAAAAAAGTAAGTAGGGTCATTTTTGATTTCATGACGACTAGCTGGCAAAACTACCACATACTGTATACTGCCATCATTATTTCAAGCTTTGAAATTGGTTTAATCCAAGTCTTCTAAAAAGTTTATATGATGAACAGATTTTAATATAGGCTTTTATTTACATACATATAAATATTGATCAATTAACATTACAAAAATTTAAATCTTAAACATTTGCTCATTCTGTGTATTTGTGTCTTTAAAATAGGGTAACTTTGTTGCAAAAGCTTACAGCACAAGGAAGCTTGATTTCAACCTGAATTGAATTTACAAAAAAAGACAAGTGCACAGTCAGTAATAAAATTATAAAACAAATGACCTCAATTCTGTTTGAAGTGTTCAAAACATGACAACACTTAATTTTTATAAGCAGTGATTTAAGAGCCATATACATTATGTTAGGCCTATTTATTTAGATAAATAAAACATCGGATGGCTTTGACCTGTAATGACTGTACACAATGTAGTGATGCAGTTAGATAGACTAGGATATTTATATGTACAAATCAGACAAATATCCCATTCCAAAACATTTCTAGCATAAATTTACATGGTAAAGAAATTAAAGTTCCATCTTTTATTGTTGAAAGACTTTCTGGTGCATTTCACTTACATCCAATACAATTTCCAGTAGGATTTTAATCGGTCAGGCGTGGATCTATTCTAAATGGTTGATAACTTTTAACAAGGTTTAATCCAGGAGCAAAGAGAAATAATTTCTACTTTAAAAGCACCGAGAGATCGCGATTGCACACAGTGCGCACAAGCAATATTGGAGTGAGAGAACGGGCAGCTCATTTGTACAAGTTAGGCCTATTTGAGAGCTCGCATCCAGTTTTCTGTGATTATGGCACATGACTGTGTTCTCATGTTACAATAAAGCGCTCGCCACATTTGCACGGGAATAATTAAAATTATGCGGAATACCTGCAATCCCACACGGAACCGCTTTTCCCGGTTCAGATATCAGGGCTGTTATTGGTCCGTTTATGATCGGATATCTTTATTGGCTACTGATGTGCCGTCAAAGGTTTGAATATCAATTCAAATTGTGGGCGTACTCAGTAACGAACTATGATTTAAAAGTAA